TGTATTATCGGTTTGATACCAGAAGTGCCATTTATAATTATAATTTATACATTTGTACTGCTGTGATATTATTATATATGATATTGTGTGTTGTCGATATTATTAAATTAAATTTTTGAATTATACAGCAACTTAACATACTACTCTTTATTATTTACTTAAGTTGCGTTAGGTAACTGTCCATTAGTTTAAGCACACACATCACAATATACACACATTTACACATCCACCCACACTCTAGCACTCACAGGTTTTGCTCAGCGACCCTGTCCACTTCCTGTTGAGTGCTACCCACATATATACACACCATAACACATGTCGGTCGGTGCGTAGTGGTGCGCGAAGTATTTAGGTGACCGGGTGCACGGACTATTTCTGTTCGTACCCGGCCCGTACATTTTGGTGACCTCGACGTGATATGAACATTATAAATTATTAATTGTGTTGAATTATTTTGGTTAATTGGTTGAGTTGATATCGCTAGTGTGCAATATCGTTATAATTAAATCATATTTTAGTTTATTATATTATTATTTAATATTTGTGATTTTTATTATCATTTTATATTTATTGATTATCATTATCATTTTATATTTATTTTAAATCGTTTAATTTTCGCATTAATTGAACAACCAAGGTATGGCGTTAGATGATGAGACGTTAAAGATTCTAACAGGGCTTAAAAAAAAACGTAGTGTGATTAAGGGATCCCTAACGAGGATACGGACGTTTATTAGCAATTTCGATGTTACTGAACAACCCGTATCATTGCTTGAGTTTAGGCAAGAGGAACTGCCTGCAATCAATCGAAAGTTTGATGATGTTCAGGCAGAAATCGAACTGCTAGAAATTGATGATATTTCTGGCTCTGAAGCAGAGCGAGAGAGGTTTGAGAACGAATATTTTACGATTAGGTCTCAGATACAGGAGCTGATAAATACCGAAAAATTAACAAGTGTAACAGGTCCAAATGCATCCTTCAATTCCTATCGGCCGCATCGTACGCAACTTGCACCCATTTCCCTTCCTAGTTTTGATGGGAATATTCAGGAATGGTCGTCCTTCTTTGACATTTTTCGTGCTATGGTGCATGAAGAGGATTCGTTTACAACAGCACAAAAATTATATCATTTACGCTCATGTTTATTAGGTCCTGCACTAGATTTGGTGCGATCCATTCCCATCAGTGATGGCAACTATGCTGTAGTTTTGGATAGACTTAAACACCGATATGATAACAAAAGCCTTGTAATCCAATCACATATAAGGGCCATACTCGACTGTCCAAGGATCGATGTTTCGTCCTCTGGAGCATTACAAAAACTTTATTCTCATGTATGTGAGTATGTAGCTGCATTAAGGGCGTTAGATCAACCGGTTGAGCACTGGGATGCATGGTTGATAACTATTGTGACAGGGCGGTTGGATAAGAACACTGGCCACGGATGGCAGCTGCACTTAAAAAATACCGACCTGCCGAAATATAAGGACCTTGAAGCGTTTCTAGCTAGTCGTTGCGTGGCTTTGGAAAACTCAGAAGCTGTGATGTCAAACGAATCGACAAATAAGATTGACACTCATAGTAACTCAACAGCGAAGACCTCTAAACCAACCCACCAGAAAAGGAGTTTGGTTATCACAGAAAACTCAGAAGCTCCTTGCATCTGTTGTAATAAGTCTCATAGAGTCTATCAGTGTGAGGATTTCAAAAAGATGACAGTCACGGATCGTCACAGTAAAATACGTGATGCTCAGCTTTGCTTCAATTGTTTTTCACCTTATCATGCAGCTCGTGCTTGCAGATCAAGATACAGCTGCCAACATTGCACCGGAAGACACAACACTCTACTTCACGTGGGCAAACGATCAGCTACCGAAGACTGTATTTCAGAGAAGAAGGACACACATACGCCAAGTTGTGATACAGCAATACCATCAACTTCCTGCTGTGCTTCGCAAGCAAATAGTCACGTATTCCTGTCAACTGTCATAGTTTATATCGCTGACAGATATGGGACAAAACAAAGATGTCGAGCGATACTAGACAGCGGTTCGCAAGTAAATCTCATATCAAGGCGATTGTTCAGGTTATTGCAATTGCCCAGTAGAAGTGCCGTGATTCCGGTAAACGGAATCGGATCTAGTCGTGTCCAAGTATCAGCAGCGGTTGATATTCAGGTAATGTCAAGAGTCAAGGATTATATTATTGATCTATCCTGTTATGTACTACCAAGCGCGGTGTGCGAATTGTCCTCCTGCTCTACGCCAAGCCATGCATTTAAAATTCCAAATGATTTAGTTAACGATCTGGCTGACCCCTCCTTTTCTGAGGCTGGAGTAATAGATATGCTCATAGGTGGTGGGGCATTTTACGACTTGTTAGAATGTGAAAGAATAAGCCTAGGTATAGGCAACATAAGGTTGCAGAACACTAAGTTTGGATGGATGGTAACCGGAGAAATGAACACCGTGTGTTTACTAAGCATTGGTCAAGAAATTGAGGGAGATTGGAGGTCTGCAAGAAACAACGAGTATTTGGAATTTGGGCGTTCATCCAAGGCAAATAAAAGGGTTGCGGAAGAACAACAAACCGTTTTGCATTTCCAGGAACATACAACTCGTAACGAATACGGGCGATTCGTAGTGCGTCTACCATTGAAGAACAATTACAATGAATTGGGAAATTCTCTTTCAATGGCTATCTCACGTTTTTTCAGCATAGAAAGAAAGCTCATTCATGACACCACCTTGAGGGAAGAATATACTAAGTTTATGTCAGAGTACATAAACCTAGGGCACATGCAGGAAGTACCGAAAGGAAGCAGCATTCCAAACCAAGTATGGTATCTGCCACATCATGCAGTCATGAAGTCAACAAGTTTAACTACAAAAGTGAGAGTAGTATTTGATGCATCCACAAGGGGTTCAAATGGATTAGCTCTCAATGACGTACTCATGAGCGGACCAACGATACAAGAGGATGTGTTTTCGATTTTAGTTCGATTCAGAAGGTGCCAATATGCATTGACTTCAGACGTAGAGAAAATGTTCCGGCAGGTATCTGTTGCGAAAGAGGACTGGGATCTTCAGCGAATATTATGGAGATCAGATCCCACAGAGCCATTGCGCACTTATCATCTAACAACAGTTACTTATGGCACCACCCCAGCCTCATTCCTTGCTACAAAGTGTTTGGCAGTACTAGGAGAAGAGTCAAGGATACAGTTCCCAGAAGCATCGAAAGCGATACAAAATGACTTCTACATGGACGATCTCATGACGGGATCAGACACTGAAGAAGGATGTTGTCGACTACAGAGGGAAATAAGCAGTATCATGGATTCAGCCAAATTACCCCTCAGGAAATGGTGCTCCAACTCAAGGACAGTAATGCAACAGTTAGGGAGAAGTGGAGAAGATCCATTATTTACCTTAGAAGTTAAGGATGGAGAGACCATTAAGTCACTAGGGCTAGAATGGCCACCGGTTAAGGATCATTTCCAGTTCACAGCTAATAAAACACAGAACCGTAGTAAATTCACCAAGAGAACACTACTTTCAGATCTAAACAGGATATTTGACCCCCTTGGGTTCATTTTACCTGTGTTGTTGAAGGGTAAAATCTTCTTACAACAAATATGGGCAATGCAAATGGATTGGGATCGTCCACTCTCTCCAGACATACAAGGGCGTTGGATGTCATTTTGCAAAGAACTAGAGCAACTCCAAAGGATCTCAATTCCCAGGAAAGTGAAGCCAGAATTAAGCGATGAATTTCACCTGCATGGATTCTGTGATGCCTCGCAAGAGGCCTACGGTGCATGTCTGTACGTAAGGTCAAGGAACCAGAGAGGAAGGTGGCAAGCGAGACTTTTATGCTCGAAAACAAGAGTAGCACCACTCAAGGGTTCTACCATTCCACGCTTGGAGCTCTGTGGAGCACTGTTATTAGTTGAATTAGCCAAGAAGGTGGCTGACTCATGGGCATTGAGTATAATGGATTTCTGGTTCTGGACAGACTCTACCATAGTACTGGGTTGGTTGAATAGCCAACAGGTCCGTTTGAAAACCTACGTCGCCAATCGCGTAAGTCAGATATTAGAGAACAGTGAAGTTAGGCAGTGGCATCATGTTTCAACAGTCGACAATCCTGCTGATCTAGCTTCAAGAGGACTAAACCCAAGTGAGTTATCTGTCTCGGAATCTTGGTGGTATGGACCACGTTGGTTGAGTGAACCTGAAGAGAAGTGGAATCCATCCCCCGTATGTTTAAGACAAGAGGAGTTACCAGAGCAACGAAAATTCAAGCTAGCGCTGGTGATGTTAAATCAGTCAACTGACTTAGTATATATAAAATCAGATTGGAACCGGCTAGTACGCGCTATCGCTTGGTTAGCATTGTTTGTGGATTATTTGAAGGCCAAGAAAAATATCCAAGTAACAAGATACCTAACGGTTGAGAATCTGAAGAAAGCAGAGACTATTATTTTTAAAAGAGTGCAAGCCGAATGCTTTCCTAAGGAAGCAATTGCATTAGCAAATCGTAAGGAAGTACCACGGACGAGCAAGTTAAAGAGTTTATATCCCTTCATGCAAGACGGTATCATTCTAGTGGGAGGGCGACTACAAAACTCGGATATAAATAACTGGCAGAAACACCCGATTGTTCTCCCCGCAAATCACCGTGTAACACTACTCATCTTTGAAAACCTACACCGAGAAATGTTACATTGTGGACCGCAGGCTCTATTAGCGGAAGTCAGACGCCGTTACTGGCCACTCATGGGCCGTAGGACCGCTAGGACAGTAGTGCGAAAGTGCGTAAAATGTATTCGAGCAAGTCCGAAGTTTACCACGACTGGAGTGGATTTTGCCGGGCCTTTCATCGTTAGAAGTGGAATCCGTCGCGTAACCGGGAAAAAGGCATGGATGTGTTCATTTGTTTCGCAACAAGAGCAGTGCACTTGGAAATTGTTGAAGACATGACAAGCGACGCCTTTATGGCATGTCTAAGACGGTTTATTTCTCGACGCGGAAGATGCGCCGTAATACACAGTGATAATGGAACCAATTTTGTGGGAGCTCAAAGAGAACTCGCATCAATTATCAAACAAGGGGGTCCTGCGATGGCGAAGGAAGGAATCGAATGGCGATTCAACCCACCATCGGGACCACACTTCGGCGGGTTATGGGAAGCGGCGGTGAAAAGTGCAAAGTATCATTTAAAACGCGTAATGGGTGAAACAAAACTAACATTAGCAGAATTAAATACACTAATATGTCAAGTTGAAGGGTGTCTTAACTCAAGACCAATCACACCAATAGGTAGTGACCCAGATGAACCTGAAGCTCTGACACCTGCCCACTTCCTGGTTGGAGGACCTCTGAGCCTACCTCCGGAGCCCGATAGACTCAGTGAAGCTCCAGGTGGATTAAGACGTTGGAAACACGTGCAATACCTCCTACAACTGTTCTGGCGAAGATGGTACACAGAATACCTGCCACAATGTCAGGTGCGTGGCAAGTGGGTCAACAAAAAGCAACCATTGAAGATAAACGATATAGTCATTATTAAGGAAGATAATCTGCCACCGACAAAATGGAATTTAGGACGAATAACGCAGGTCCACCCAGGAAGAGATGGTGCAATACGAGTTGTAACAGTCAGAACAGTAGCGGGTACGGAAATCAAAAGACCCTCCGCAAAACTTTGTGCACTTCCTAGTGAGACCGACACAATTATCGTTGAAAAATAGATTTTCAACGGGGGGAGAATGTTCGCGCCGTCATCACCGCCACTCGCATATAGTACAGTGCGTAGGTACTAGTACATCCCACCACACACACAAACGACAGTAATCATTATTAAGATTATTATATAATATGTAGATAAGGCCGCGACCAGGCTTTGTCCAGCAAAGGCCAGGCGCGGTGCGGCAGTCCGTTCGGTCGTCGCACGCAGTCGACGTACCTATATTATTACAGGCGCGAATCGTCGCAAATTTTGTTTTACCGTCCGTTCCGTAGTGCTACGAGATATAAGTGACCGTTATAGGCGCGAATCGCCGTAAAAATTGTTTTATATTTGTAAGGCGCTAATCGCCATCGTTATTTTTTATATTAATTATATTGTAGTTGTTGGTGGCGCAAATCGCCATCGTTATTAATTATTGTTATTGGTCAGGCGCGAATCGCCGGCGTTATTATTATTGTTATTTAATTGTTGTTACGACGCATTGTGTGTGCCGTTGACATTATTATTATTATTAAACCCATAGGATAGGTAGCAGCTGGCCAGCCGAGCACCGTCATATTTGTAAGTTTTTTATATATATATATATATATTTTAATTAATATTATTTGTATTATCGGTTTGATACCAGAAGTGCCATTTATAATTATAATTTATACATTTGTACTGCTGTGATATTATTATATATGATATTGTGTGTTGTCGATATTATTAAATTAAATTTTTGAATTATACAGCAA